TGGTGCGAATTTAGAGTTTATGGTTTAGAGTTTATAAGTTTAAATGACTAAGTGTCCAGAGTTTATTAATTTATGAGTTTAATAGTTTTATGAGAGTTTAAAGAGTATGAGTTTATGAATTTAGAGTTTATGAGTTTAGAGTTTATAAGTTTAAATGAGTCTTAGAGAGTTTAAGTTTAGAGTTTATTAATTTATTGTGAGTTTAAGAGTTTAAGATTAGATAGATAAGTGTCATAGATTGATGAGTTCATTAGTTTGAATGAGTTTCAATGGCTCATATAGTGTATAGAATGGCAGTTTGATTGAGTCTGGGGCTTCAAGGTATTTAGATTTGAAATTTTGACAGTTGGGCAGTTTGAATTTCTCAATGGGAGTCAATGGGAGTTTTTTCCGACTTTGATCGTCATTTTTAGGAGAACCGTAAGTCCGATCAGTTAGAAAAGATATAGCAACGCGAGTCAGAACAGTTTGAGTGTCCATGCCGAGTTTGGAGTATGTGGAGTTAAAGCTCTAGGAGGAGTTAGAGTTGGAAATTTTAGTCTCAGAAAAAGAATAATAATAATAATAATAATAATAATAAGTTTAAATAGAATTTCAGTAAGTTGGCTCTCACAAGCCAACTTAATAATAAATAATAATAAGTTTAAATAGAATTTCAGTAAGTTGGCTCTCACAAGCCAACTTAATAAGTTTAAATAGAATTTCAGTAAGTTGGCTCTCACAAGCCAACTTAAATATTCCAGGTCTGGATTTCCGTCTTCTTGAGATAGCATGATTGCAAAAGTGAGATGACAGTGATGTGCAGGAAGGAGCAGAAATATTTGCAAAGAGTGTCTCTTTCACTATGAACAGAAATACCACAAAGAATGTTGTTGTGCAAGCCCCGCCCGAATGCTATATGAAAAATGATTTCTTGTAAATCACTCTGAAGGAAAGAAGCTTGTGAATTAATTTCATGTGAAATGCTCCAGAACTGCCACTGTCAATTAGCCAGCACATCCCGATCCTTAACATACTGTACATTATAGGGTTAGTTCACCCCAAAATGAATATTCTGTCAGTAATTACTCACCCTCATGTTGTCCCAACCCAAGACTTTTGTTCATCTTCAGAACACAAATTAAGATATTTTTTTATTAAATCTGAGAGCTGGATCACTCCTCCCATGGGCTTCTAAGGGATCGAAACTTGCCGGCCCAAAAAAGTTAAAGACATTGTCAAAATAGTCCAAGTGACTACAGTGGCTCAATCTTAAGTTTATCAAGCGACGAGAATCCTTTTTGTGCACAAAAAAAAAGAAAAATAAATAAATAACAGCTTCATTCAGCTGTCAATTTCCTTCTCTGTGGGCCTCAAGATTTCACGCAATGTAACTGTTCAAAGCTTAGGTTGTACACACACACACCCAGCATCGGCCAATAGTGAACCTACGTGTCTATTGCACTGCAATAAAATAGCTTCTCTTCTCTGCAATACCATGAAGAATCAGAATATATAACCAAGACAAAATAATTTCAGTTTCTGCAGACGAATAACTTCATTAAAGGATTAGTTAAAACTTTTGCTGATAATTTACTCACCCCCATGTCATCCAAGATATCCATTCTTTCTTCAGTCGAAAAGAAATTAAGGTTTTTGATGAAAACATTCCAGGATTTTCTCCATATAATGGACTTCAATGGGAACCAAATGGTTCAAGGTCCAAAAGACACTTTCAGTGCAACTTCAAAGGGCTTTAAACAACACAAGACGATGAATAAAGGTCTTGGATGACATTGGGGGTGAGTAAATTTTCAGCAAAAGTTTTTTTAAAAGTGAACTACTCCTTTAAAGGCGACAACTCTTAAAGTTAAAAAGGGCAACAATAAATAACGCAAAACATTTGAGTTTGTGATATTGCTTTACTATAGAAAATCGTTTCCTGTCCCTTCATTTGCATTTCGCGCAACAACGTGGCGGTGGTGTCATGTGCAAACAAGCTATTAAAGCTGAAGTCCACAACTTTTAGTGCTCTAGTGGTTAATAAACAGAGCTCCATGCTTCTTGTGGAAGAACATTGTAGATGGATCTACTTCTCTATGTTTATGTCTATGAGTCACACAGATACTGGGATACTTTACAGCGGTACAGTCTTAGTCCAAATATAAAAACTTATTATAGGTGTAGGCCTACTGTAGTGATTCAGAATAAGACAAAAACACGGTTTGGAAAATGGATTCATGATGTAGCTACTCGAAGAATTTAGCAAATCATTTAGTAATCATGTAATCATCAATCATGGCATTTTATGATTCTCCAACTAAGTTTCACTTTTACTCTTTGTCCTCCCATACACAGCTCCTCATGCTCTCACCTCAGTAAAAGTATAAGTTTCATTTTACTCCAATAGAAACTCCCAAGTACAACCCATGAATACTGATGAGTTCAGATCCTCTATAAATCACCAAGACGCCCAGGTGATCTTCGTAGTTGTGGTCGACATCGGTTCTCTTTCAAAAGGTATAGTTTTAAATCTATTACACGTGGAAAATGTTAATTTATCTTGTGATTGAAATAGTAACTTAATTTACATTATTATAATTTGTAAGATTGAACAAAAATAGAAGAACTTCCTTTTTCCAGGGAAAATAAATCATTAGTGAACAGACAAAAAAACGAATAATAATTGTACACTGTAAATTAAGTCTAAACGTTGTTTAAGTTGCAGCACTGCAGTATTGTCTAATAACAGAGTATCTTTTGTTTTCACAGATTGAGATCTGATTCAAACAATGGGCACTATTACTAATACAGAAAATAATTTTCAAATTACTGATACCATTTTATTTCCTAGTGCAAATTTATATTCTTATGGGAATAAATTAAAAATACCATATTTTGCTTCAAATTTTCATTTTAATAAAACTTTAGATGACAGTTTTGAAAAATTGGAATCTACACCTGGTCCTCTACTTATCAAAAATGGCAAAATTATGCCAAATAACAATGTAAAATTCAAAAAACAACCTTCCTGCTTTATTTTAATTTGGCCATCGGATGAGAAAAGTGAGATCAGCTATGGTCAAGGGATTTATTACGGACAAAATTTAATCATGACGGCCAAACATGTTTTAGGAAATAACTATTTAAAAAAATTCAAAATATATGTCCTTTTTTTCCCAACTTTTGAAAGTTCGAAAATGCACAATTTTGAATATTGTTTAATATATAAATGCTACAATACCTTACCCCCCTTTCCTAATAGATATTTTGTAAATCAGGACATTGCTTTAATTAAATTACAAGGATGTTCAGATACTCTAGAAAACATAAAATTAGGCAAATTACATAAAGATGACTATGTATATTTTAACATTTTAGAGTCAGGACAATTTGTAAGAAAACGCAGTGAAATCAAAAACCCAAATTCAGACATGAAAAAGCAAATGTCAGCAAATGAATTTGTTATTTCTATAGCGGGTAAAGACGGAGACAGTGGAACTCCTATTTTAAGTAAGAATGGCATGTGTGTTGGAATATATATTGGTGCTTTTAAAGCAAAGAACTCGTTAAAACCTTTGGAATATGGCAGAGCTTTACAATTTGATAGAAATTTTATTGAAAATGGAATCACTAAAAACCCAAATTCAGACATGAAAAAGCATATGTCAGCAAATGAATTTGCTATTCCTATAGCGGGCAAAGACGGAGACAGCGGAACTCCTATTTTTTCAAGTAAGACTGACACGTGTGTTGAAATATATATTGGTGATTTTGAAACAAAGAACTCATTGAAACCTTTGGAATATGGCAGAGCTTTACAATTTGTTACAAATTTTATTGAAAACAATCCCATGACTTCATTTTTTTCTGTTTCTGAACTATTTAAACTAATTTTATATTACTTTAATTTTAAAGTATGATGATGATTGTTTTTATTATTCAATTCAATTTTATTTGTATAGCATTTTCTTGACCAAGTAAGAACTCCAGCAGCTCAAGCTTGTTTATTGCGGTTGCAATAAACTATCTGTTCTTTATTTATTCATAAAGAACAGACAATATTTTAATTTCTATAATGTTAAAAAGCCCTTTTATAAAAAAATATATATAATATATCTAAAATAAAGTAATTACTTATAAAAAAATGACAAAGAAATATATCTATAATGAAAATGTGGAAATATAGATATATTTTAACAGTGTTTCTTAGTCTTGCTCATTATGCATCCTGTAGCAACCCTAAAGTTGATGGGTTAAATCTGGTGTGGAAAATAAGAAAGATAACCAAAAAGTGGAGTGTTTAGGTGGGATGGGAGTGGCAGGTGTAGGGATGGAGCAGAGGATGGACTAAGAAACACTTTTAAAAGTTTGTTTGCCCGCATAATCTTAAAGGGTTAGTTCACCCAAAAATGAAAATTCTGTCAGTATTTACTCACCCTCATGTTGTTCCAACCCCGTAAGACCTTCGTTCATCTTCGAAACACAAATTAAGATATTTAAGATATTAAGATCACTCCTGCATACAGTCCATAGGCTTCTTGAGGGAATGACTTGCTGGCCTCGAAAAGTCATTAAAGACATCGTTAAAATAGTCCAAGTGATTACAGGGGCTCAATCTTAAGTTTATCAAACGACGAGAACACTATTTGTGCGCAAAAACAACACAAATAACGACTTTATTTCAACTATTCGTTTATTTCTCCCTCTGCCTCGAGTCATGTTACTAGTTTAATAGCGTAAGCTTCTGTTATTGTACGTCACACGCATCACACACATGACCAGCGTCGGCAAATAGTGAGCCTACGTGTGACGTAGCTCTACGCAAACACACTACGTTAACTGACTACAGGCCCATAGAGAAGGAAGTGAATAGTTGAAATAAAGTCGTTATATTTTTGTTTGTTTTTGCGCACAAAAAGTATTCTCGTCGTTTGATAAAGTTAAAATTGAGCCCCTGTAGTCACTTGGACTATTTTAACGATGTCTTGGATGACTTTGAGGCCAGCAAGTGTCATTCCCTCAAGAAGCCTATGGACTGTATCCAGGAGCGATCTTAATATCTTAAATATCTTAATTTGTGTTCCGAAGATGAACGAAGGTCTTACGGGGTTGGAACAACATGAGGGTGAGTAAATACTGACAGAATGTTCATTTTTGGGTGAACTAACCCTTTAAGCTACGTGTTTGGCTTGCTGTCCGCAGTGGAGGAGCTAGAGGAAGCAGCTTCAACTCGAGCTTAAATATGCTTAGAAACTAAATCTGGTAGCAAGATGCATAAATTATGACGGTGTTGTTGGGGAGGTAGAGGGATGCCAAAACAGCTGATGGTAATTGAAAGATTAGGAACTTCATAAGGCATTTTTCAGCGAGGAAATTGTATAATTGGCATGGTTTCTGTAGCAAGTAATATTGTCCATTGTTTTGCAACTATCCGGAGAGAGATCTTGTGTCTTCCCACAATAAAACCTTGTAAGTATTTTAATAAATATTGTTTAAAAGAATTTTTTTTTAAATAATTTACTACTATTAATATACTATCACAGCAATGAAGTCTATTAAATGATCTAAATGTTTACAGGCGTCATATGTAGCAGGTGGAATCTTCATCAAGCTGTCTTGAAGCTTTGGTAAGGAAACTATCATCAGAAATACACACTTAGTAAACAGCAGAACTGATTTAAACGTTGTGATCTCATCTAAATGATTACTTGTTGTTTGGCATGGGAAGTTTTTTTAATTATTTGTTTTTACTTCTATTAGTGTTATTTTGGTATGAAACCAGATTTTAAGGAAATATTGCAGGACCAAGATTAAACCTCGTCAAAATGCATTGCATTTTTATACAGACTTTTTACTGAGAATGTTAGAATCTTTGCAAAGACGCATTTTTGTTTTGTTTTGTTTTTTGACAGAAAACTGACAAATAAGTGAAAAGATCTGTTTCAAGATATCTCCCACCTCCACACTGCATACGTCACGTCTGGGTCCAATTATAATCACATGATCTTTCTTCGTTAACTTGAGTCTCACACCTGCTGTAAAAACAATGCCAGCTACCAGGAGAGAGATCGGGTCTTATCCCACACTAGTAAGTATTTCGATCAAATATTGCAGATAAAAAAATAAATCAATGCAACTAATCAAATGTTATTAATTCTAATTGCATAAAACCTGCAAAAAAGCTTTTTCAATAAAAGTATTTACATTTTGTAGTAATTGCACTGTTTCTGTTGAGTTTGACTGTCAGTTTTGGTGAACAATCATCAGAAACAAAGATTAATGATATAAAACATGTATGAATTATATATTTACCAAAACAAAATGGTAAATACGTATTAAGATGTATATCATGACCTCTCTCTAGGAATATGACACTGACTGCAGCTCCCTCTCAAGAGTCATGAGAAGAATTCAACCACCTACAACCATCACTTTTGGGTCAAGCCACAACCTAATAATCTCTATGTCACAATTATGCTTTGGTTAATGTTATGGTTTCATTCAAACTTGTTTGCTCATCTTATCCATTTGTTCCCATTCGTCACTATAGTTACAATGGTTGTTCAGGTCACATTTTATTGATAGCAAAACTGGAAAGGTGACTCTGGGGAGTGGAGGGAGCAGGAATTTAAGGATTGAGTTACAGAAAGAAATGCTAGCTTTGTGCAACCATTGAGTGCTCCATGAAGTTTGATTTCTTATAAATCAATTCCAATTTAAAAAAAAAATGATAATAATAATAATTTCATTCTGGTCTGATAACCTTCTGTACTGGTAGAAAATAAACTGTTAACACATTCATGTCCCTGAAATGTATCATTTAATTTACTCTAACATGTTTCTATATTAATAAAAACTTAAGGCACTGCTTTTGTATTACATAATTTTCCCAAATTAAAACCCTAACCCCCAAATCCTAACCATTATTAACTATAATTACCCATGTTACAAATTTATCTTTGTCACTTTCTTACCTGTTTCTTATCCCAATCATATTGTTGTAATCAGTGGACAGAGAAATATTGACCTCAAAGTCCACTATCAGAGCGTTTTGTTGTTTAAACAGATTCTTTTAAAGAGGATATATATATTCTGATCCACCAAATAGAGACAAAAACGTAAAAATGTGTTCTGATCAGCGCCACATTAAAACCACTGACAGGTGACGTGAATAACTTTGATTATAGGCCTATCATTTCAACGGCACGGCACCTGTCAAGGGGCAAGGGGATTGGGGATTGGGGCTGTGGTCGAGGTTGTGAATGGCCAGTAGGAGGGACTAATGAGGGAGTACTGCGGTGGCCAGATAAGGTCTAGCTCTTTTTGGCTGCCAACCTTAAAAGCATTAAAGGAGCTAAACGCAAGTCTCTGAGTTTTTGCAGAACTACGCCCCCTCTGGCGACAAGCGAAACTGCAACCAGAGCTGTGCGCGTTCATGGAGGAACACACACACACACACACACACATACGCACGTTTGCACGAGCTGTTCATAACTAAGGAGCATCAGCCGCACACTGTGCGGCACACATCTTTTGTTACAGTCATAATGAGGTAATACAGTAATAAATCTGCAAGTCATTTAAAATATATGAAAGGAAAGGCATTCGAGTAAATTACACACTTATGTGTGTGAGAGGGGGAAACGGGGGTAGTAGAAAACTTCGGTTTTTGTTTCCATCTATCTCCCTGTGCTTACTGTATCCACTTATGATTGAATTATTATGGAAACACGTTCAGTTATCACTTTGTATAGGCTATGACCCGTTTGAGCCCTAGAGACGACCGGAGATCTCTCCGTTTGTTGAAAGCTTCCCGATGTTGACTCTCGTCTTATTCCGACGCATGGCACTGGACAGACAGAAGTTTTATTTTCTGTCTCACGTGGAGTTTGCGTTGGGGTTTGTAATGAGCTACAAGCCGGTCTCTTTCCGCGCCATATACAGATTTAATGAAGTGCACGTCACCGAAAGCAACAGATATGAGCTGGATTTTATTAATCATCGGCTAATTTCAAAATCAGCAAAGACAGCAATAAGAGAGATCGGCAACAGGCCTGGTAAGATCATTTCATTTCTTTACTTTTAATGAAGATGGTAGTGTTAAGCGTCTGCGACTTACTTTCACTAATTCACTTTGATTTGCGATAGATTGCGGCGCTTGATGAAGGGGCTCAGCTCAGCTGCTCAGGTGATGCGCGTCGTCATATATGACTAAAATATCATGACATATAGCTTGGTTTCAACAACCAGATGCATTTACACTTGTCCAGTTTCGTCTGGAATACGGCACAGACCACGTCCTCAAGTGGTTTGAGCGATCGAATTCAAATCCGTCTCGAATGCGTTTCGGAGGGTATTTACACCCTGGTCTTTTCACGATCGAATAGCTATCCGATCACAGAAGACACATGAAGTGACCAGGTGTAGGCTAAACAGCCCCTTTGAATCCATCGTTTACTTTTGTGGAAAGCTGACTAGAGTTGTGTCGCTCGAGTTGTCTTCTCTGATACGGAGAACGGCGGCGAATAGCTACACGAACCTGCCAGACATAGCCAGGCGAGCGTGAACGCGCATGACGTCACGCCCAGTCTCAGATTCGAGCCCGAATCCCTCTTATATATTTCACTGTACAGGGTTATAGAGGCGATCGCAGTGATCAAAGAAGGGCTCATTCAGCCCATCAGGCGATTGTTTAAGCATGTATGGGTTAGAAAACGGCTATTTTTAACATGAAAAGTTGCGCAATGCACCTTTAAGGGCAAAGCACCTGACAATGCAGTCAAACGAGGGAGTTGGGACTGTAAAGAGACTGTAAGTGTCTCATGTCAACGATCTGGCAGAGGAGCATGGTAAGGTCTATAGTGGACAATCTGGGACTTATCAGACTGATCCAGGAGGCAGTGAATCCTGTATGTCACTCCAGGAGAACCCACATCAGATACAAGGCACTCTAATATTTCAAAGGTGCCTTTCCAGTGAGGACCAAGTTTTTGTTTATTCCCAAATATATTTATGTTGTAAGGGTAGCCTGTCCAGTCATACATTATTTTTTGTATCTGAATCAAAATAGCACACTTCACTTTTTCGATATTTTAGTCTCCTTCTGTTTAATTTTTAGACAATACTGTCTAATATTTTGGATGGTTAGACTGGAGAGGAAAATGCATGCCATATCAAATAATTTCTTACAATAGCATTAACATGTTTACATTTAATAAACAAAGTTAACATTATTTATTCATGGATGGATAGCATTAAAAGATGCAATCATAAGTCAATATGATAATATTCATTCAAGTATCAAGGCGTTTGAGCTTTTGAAGCCACAGATATAAGTGGATATGAGAATCTTAAAGGCTTTCTGAAAGCGTGGATAGAAAAAGCCATAGATCAAGGGGTTACAAGTGGAGTTAAAGTATCCAAACCAAACCAAAGCATCAAAAACATCAACAGGAGTCACAAAATTGAGGAAAGGATCAACAGCAGTGGCGGTAAAAAAAGGCAGCCAGCAGATGCAAAAAACTCCCATGACAATGGCCAGAGTTTTTGCTGCTTTTCCTTCTCTTTGTGCAGAGCTTTGGCTCTTCAACCCTCCTGCTGTCACCACAGTCACTCTTTCTGACATTACCTTTGCATGTCTTCTTGCAACATGGAAGATTTTCATATACAGAGAGCTCATGGTTGCCACAGGGAGGAAGAATGTGAGAAGTGAGCAAATAAGACCCCACTGTTTGTTAAAAAACAAAACACAACTTCCCACACAGTAAACCTGCATGATAAATGACTCTAAGCCAATTGTGTTCACACCTGAAAACACAATAGAAAAACTGTAGAGAAATGAAAACAACCACGTGAAGGTGGTAAATACAGTCACAATGTTGTTTGTGACCCTCATTTTGTACATTAAAGGATTACAAATGGCCCAGTACCTGTCAACAGATATTAAACAGAGATGTATTTTAGAAGAAATGCTGAAAGCCATGTCCAAACTAGAATGCACTTTACACACAAAATCTCCCAGATACCAGCAGCCTTCAACAGATCGCACCATGCTGTACGGCATGACCAAAGATCCCAGCAGACAATCACTGGCAGCCAGACACCAAACAATCAGATGAGTTGGAGACTGTAGATGTTTGAAGTGAGAGATGGAGATGATGATCAGCAGGTTCCCAAAAACTGTTATGAGGATCATCAGCAACATAAAAATATACAAAGCTACTTTAAGGACAGTAAGACGATGAGCTCTTGGACAGGAGTCCGGCAGGAGTGGATAGCAGAGAAGCACATTCTCAGAGTAAATGTCAGTTTCATTTGAGGTCATTACGAAGATATAGATATGGAGGATCAGAAAAAAAAATTCCTTTGTAAAGTAAAAAATTAAATCACACAGATATCATTGCAACTCTGAAGGGAAACAACCACAGTCAGATATACAGATATACAGTACATGCACATAAGGAACTACTATGGATTCAGCAGCTCAGTTTGAGCTATATATACAGTATACTCAGGATCCAAAACAGTAACACCCTGACCCTGATATTTGAATATGCTAACAATGATGCTGTAACTAATCATGGTACAAGAGGGACACCAGGTGGCGACAAAATGACTATCTATCCATCCATCCATCTATCTATCTATCTACACTCACCTAAAGGATTATTAGGAACACCTTACTAATGCTGTGTTTGGGCCATATTGATAGGATAGCATCTTGCAGTTGATGGAGATTTGTGGGATGCACATCCAGGGCACGAATCTCCCGTTCCACCACATCCCAAAGATGCTCTATTGGGTTGAGATCTGGTGACTGTGGGGGCCATTTTAGTACAGTCAACTCATTGTCATGTTCAAGAAACCAATTTGAAATGATTCAAGCTTTGTGACATGGTGCATTATCCTGCTGGAAGTAGCCATCAGAGGATGGGTACATGGTGGCAATAAAGGGATGGACATGGTCAGAAACAATGCTCAGGTAGGCCGTGGCATTTAAACGATGCCCAATTGGCATTAAGGGGCCTAAAGTGTGCCAAGAAAACATCCTACACCATTACACCACCACCACCAGCCTGCACAGTGGTAACAAGGCATGATGGATCCATGTTCTCATTCTGTTTACGCCAAATTCTGACTCTACCATCTGAATGTCTCAACAGAAATCGAGACTCATCAGACCAGGCAACATTTTTCCAGTCTTCAACTGTCCAATTTTGGTGATCTCTTGCAAATTGTAGGCTCTTTTTCCTATTTGTAGTGGAGATGAGTGGTACCCGGTGGGGTCTTCTGCTGTTGTAGCCCATCCGCCTCAAGGTTGTGTGTGTTGCGTCTTCTTCACAAATGCTTTGCTGCATACTTCGGTTGTAACGAGTGGTTATTTCAGTCAAAGTTGCTCTTCTATCAGCTTGAATCAGTCGGCCCATTCTCCTCTGACCTCTAGCGTCAACAAGGCGTTTCGCCCACAGGACTGCTGCATACTGGATGTTTTTCCCTTTTCACACCATTCTTTGTAAACCCTAGAAATTTGGGCATGAAAATCCCAGTAACTGAGCAGATTGTGAAATACTCAGACCGACCCGTCTGGCACCAACTGGCAAATGTTCAACAATATTTAATAACATAAAATAAAAAAAAATACAAAACGAAAGTAAAAGACAGCAGCCCCTCACGGATGACTGCTGTCACATATAATAAAACAAAACACAACATAATTTCAGGCCTGTTCCTCTCTCGCTCTCCACTGCTACTCCTTTCATGCCTCCGCTCCTCCGTGAGAGATACGAGACCGGTGCGTCGCGTTGG